TGGAGCGTTACCCAGCACGATAGACCTGCATCCGTGCCACTAACCATTTGCAGACCAGCAGCAGCAGCCACGCAAAGGGATTTCAAGGGAATTGTGAAGGATAACTAAGTAATTTTGAGTGTTTTCATCACTGCATGCACAGCTCTTCATGTCACTTGTCCTTTTCTGGATGAGCACCTTCCCAACAAAACGGATTTAGGGCTGTATTTTTCCCTGGGCTGTTTAGCAAAGCCCCTTCCTTACCCTTCAGTTCTGCTTTCAAGGTGTCTCCAGCTTCCCACAACGTCAGTGCAGGGCTCTTGGTGAATTCATTCAGTTCTCACATTTATCATCCCCGATACTATTATAACACAATCTTCCCTTCCTTGTAAGAGCTGACACTCAAATCACACATGTATAGTTTGCCAGTACAGGGTTGTTTGTTTTCTTCTATTGCCAATTATATTCCTTGCCAATTCCTTTTGTTGAACAAAACCCAAAGCAACTGCTCCCCAACAATATTTTTTTTTTCTCCTTAAATCTATCAGAAATCCTATAAAGGGGCTGAGGTAGAACCTCCATCTTCCTTTTCTGCCTTTTTGCCTGTATTCTGCTATTTCTGTGCTCTCTGCCCTGGTGCTCCCAGCTCTTATCGTTCCCAGCAAGCCCAGTGCCATCTCTCAGGTAGCTGGGGGCAAGCATGCTACGTGCCCTACGTCCCACCACACAGAGCAAATTCACCAAACTCTAGGCCTCCAAGAACCTAATAGCAAACTAGAAATGCAAGCAACATGCTGCCCTTATGACTTCTTGTCATGACATATAGGAAGAAACAGGAAAAAAGATGGCCCAGAGATTACCTTGAGAGAAAGCAGTGCTGGAAGGGCAAGGTCTGGCTCAGGGGACAGTCCCCACGCTGCCCCCGTGGCCTCCTCCTGGGTGGAAATGTCCTGTGAGTAATCCCAAAGCTGGGTGAGGTCTGGCAAAAGGTGGGTCCCTGGATCCTGTGGGCAGCAAACTCCCAGAAGCCTGGAGAAGAAAGAGGGGAAGGGAAAACTGATGGGGTTGGGAGCCAAGACAAAGCCAGCACAGACAGACACTTCCCAAAAGGGACCTCCAAAGTCAACACGATTGTGCAAGCCATTTCTGTACCACCTTAGCAGAGACAGACAGAGTTTTCTGGTTCTTTTTCATGGATAAATCCACTCAAAAGTGTATGTTTTAGATCCCTCGGGGTTGAACAAGGAGTAGTTAAGATCATGCTGTCAGCTGTGCTCCGGGTCTGGGCTTGCAGCACCCCAAATTCCTTCTGCAGAGGAGAACCATCTTTTAGCATCCCCCCCTCTCCTAGCTTTTCACCAGTTTGCCAGTTCCCAGCCCCTTCCTCTCCCCTGTACATTGATTTTAAGCCTTTTCCATGTGCTGTGGACAGGCAGCTCCCCCAGCCCGAGGATCCCGGAGGAGCAGTGCACTGGGCAGGGGGACACACGGGCTGGGGCTGCTCACATTGCTGCTCCTCAATGCTTTTGCACACCCAAGGTGTTCCTGAAACCATAATTAATGATGCCCAGCCTCAGCTTGCTACCTTCTGAAACCCATCGAGGACACAAAACCAAATGGAACTGTGGATTTATGTTTTTTTGCAAGCATGTTGTTTTCAGAAATAAAGTCTTCGTTCAGGCCCAGCCTCAACGTGTCACGGAGCAGGAAAATTCCTCCATTCATGGACAAACTGTAGGTAGGAAAGTCCCACAAACGACAGGTTCATTACAAGGTCTGCTCCACCTTCCTGACAGCACAAACTGAGTTTTTCTGGTTACCTTCACGGCCTCAGCTAACCAAGCCAGGTCTGGTCTCTCTCCAGGGAAGACTGGGCTCCTTTTCCAGTCCTGCCTTGACTACTCTGCCCGACTTTGTCCCTGCTCAAAGGTTTGCCCTGGCTGATGGGGCAGCAGGTCAGTAAGGAAATGGGAGGTCCTTCAACGTCCCTCCGCCGTTGCATGTACCAGGTCCCTGGTGGCCAAAAGACTGAAAAAAAAAAATATCAAAGGAACCATCTCATGTTGGAAAATGTATGATTTTTTTTTTGCCTTACTGTAAATATGAGGGATCAGGACCTCAGCTGACCCTGCTGGTGGCCATGTCTGAGACGGGCTCCTCCTCACTGGTCCCAGGGCCATGGCTGGCCAGGAGCTGCTCCTGCGTGCCCCGGTCCAGCACGGTGGGGACGGGCCAGCGCAGGAGCCTGCGAGGCTGCTCTGAGTCACCCTTTGGACCGGCCTCGCTTCCTTGCTCTCAGATCCAAGGCTGCTTTCTTGGCAGAAGCCTCCCCCAGCCGCCGCTGGTGAGCACACGGCTTGGGGTTGGGAGGGTTGGTTGGTTTGGGTTTTTTCCAGTGTTTGCTCTGATACACAATTAATTAAACGTAAGTGCCTCCATTTATTGCTCTCTAGAGAAAGCCTGCTGGCTTGCGTGCCCTGGCCTTTGGGGACATTTCTATTGTTTCAGCTACCGCCAAAGCCAAGGAATGCTAAATCACGCTCTCCTTCGGTGCGATGGGAGGCAGCTCGCCCACAGCCCTGGTGGAGCGTGGCTCGTGGTTGCCCAAACATTGTCTTTAATGAGAGACACGTTGTCTTTAATGAGAGACATGCTGCAGCGGATTTGGCACGAGAAGGTGACCACTGCCAGCAAGGTCTGGGCTCCGCCACTGACCCAGGCAAGGTCAAATCAGTTTGAAATAGTTGACTGGTCTCTCACCGTCAACAAGCAGCCTTGGAAGATCGCAAGGAAAGTCTGAGAGGGGGAAACGGTTTGACGCAATTCAGGTAACAAAAAGAATGTCATCTGCCAGCCTCGTGCTACAGGCTTCCTGCCAAATCTGCCACATCTCTTTTCTAAGGGCTTCACCTGCCTTAGGAGCGAAGGTAGGTTAATCCAAGCCGTGCTTTGTCAGGTCCTGCAGTTCTCCAGGCTGAACAACCCCAACTCTCTCAGCCCATTTTCATAAGAGAAGTGCTCCAGCCTCTGACCATCTCCGTGGCCCTAACACGTGTCAAACACCAGCATTTCAGTTAGAGGGTCACGGACTTCATGTTTCATTTGCATCTCTTTATTCCATACGTGTGGATTTATTTTATAAATAGAAACATCTTAAGAAGCTCACAGGCGTTCAGAGCAGGACAGGTTCAGCCTTTCAGGCCACGAGGTGCTTCACTGGAGGCATTAGAGCAGCCCCGCTGGGACCAGTGGGTGGCTGCCTGTGGCGACGAGCCCCACAAAACCTGAAGGCCAGAGGATTTCCTGACCATAGGGCACCCACCGGAGCAGAACAGCCACAAACACATCCAACTGCTTATTTACACACACGGGATGAGAACAACTTGTTCGGCAGCCCTCTTCTACTGCAACAGTTACACTTATGCATGCAAAAATCTTGCAAGATCTGGCACAGACCCACTGTGGTTTAATGCAAAACAGCCTAAAAACCAACCGCAACAACAAAAACCCAACTGTACCTCTCCATTTGAAAAAAAAACAAAACAACCAAACAACAAAAAAACACAAACCACCTTAAAATAGGGCAGGGAGGGAGAGAAAAATAGCAGTGCTGATTTCCTCTTTCGCAGCCGGCTAGAGGAGCAAACTGCTAGCACTGGGTTATGGATTTATTGCCCAACAGCTCCAGTATCAGAGAGGCTTCCTCCAGGACTGGGAGCTAACACTGCTGTGCTGTGAGAACATCGGGCCGTCTCTGCCTGAAGTACAGAGGAGCGAGCAGTCATTTGCCAAACTTGCAAACACCACCAAAACCCCAAAATTAGTAGTTGAGGAAGTTTAGCTTCAGGCGCTGTCGCTTCCAAACGGCAGCGCTACATACTTGGGGAGCACTCGGGGATCAAATAAATCTTGATTTTTGGTCACATCTGTCACCAAGAGCTGCACCTACTACCGGTGGAGAAGGCTGGAAGAAAAGTGGTCAACTGCAAAACAATTCCAGCCAAGGGTCACACGGGTACCAGTAACTGGAAAACTCACAGGGAGCCCCCACGCTGGGAAGCCAGTGGTGCTTTGCCATTAAATTTCCACAGAAAATAGGACACCTCCATCTCTAAGGTACTCTGAGAAACACTAGAATAAACCCCATAAATTATCCTCTTCGTGGTATTCCTTTCTCCCTTTTTCTGTCTCCCTACAATCAGGTTGCAAGGGCAGGACAGCCCATATAACACTGATTCCCTGATTTCTAACATAAGCACAGCCACAATCAACAGGCAGCAACGTCACAGCATCACTTTTTAAAAAACGAAACAAAAAGACACCAATAATATCATGGCTAGAAACCAGACTGCATTAGATCTCTGCAAGGGAATGAATAAACCAGAGCAACAAATGGTGTCCCAAATGTGGGGCCCAGTAGCCTTTGCTACTAGGACTGGGGGACTGTAAAATTCACAGGAGAGAAGGGAAAAGAGCATCCAGCATCAAGGCCACTTACCAGGATGGGCAGCAGCTCCCAGCAGTAGGTGATTGCAGCAAGTCTATCGCCCGTCCGTAGGATGGAGAAGTCTCACCCCTTCCCAGGAGATGACTGAAGCCTGGTGTGAAAGCCACGCAGCCCTGTTTGACCCGGTGCACTGTCCCAAGGAGAGGTGGCAACAGAACAGCAGGGGCTGGCAGCAGGCAGCGCCCTGCCAAGCTGTGGGCAGCAGCACTGCCTCCAAATGATGATCACATCATAGCGTTATCTATAGTTATATCCACTTGAGGGGAAACAAGAAGGGGTTTTGATGTTGCCCTCCCAGCATCCAAGCTGGCAAGAGCAGTTTACTGGCAATTAAGCTGCTTTTAGCCCGACGTATATATTCACAAGCATCACGAGGACATTTCTGCACAGTGAGAAGATGCACTGGAGATGACCACCCAACACAGCACCCTGCTGCCACTACCAGCCTTCTCAGAGCCATCAGCGCAAGCCAGAGTTAATCAGCAGTGGCAGAAAACACAGACCCAAACCAGACTTTCACACATTTGTATGTTTATTATTTCAAAGTACAATATATACATAATGTATAGCGGTATCTTTCAAAAACTTTATACAGAAACAGGTTATCTACAAAATTAAATCAATAGACGTTCTGCTTATATTCAGACAAGGTACATACATATATTGGAAGATTCAACATAGTTCTAGTTAGAACACAAAAAAACGGGAAGGAAGCCCCCATCCATCTCGGAAAAGCTCTAAACACCACCCAGCTCCCTCTGCAAGGCAGCTGCCTGCCCTTCCACAGGTCTCAGGTCACTGTGGAGACACGGTAAATCTGATTTCTGGTGCCACCTACTGCTGATATTTCCATTTTCCAGGCACAGCAGGAAGGGTGAAACCCACTCGGACAGGACTTGCTCCCTGAACCCCTTCCTAGACTGGGGTCTCTGCAGCATGCGGGCACTCAGCTGTACACTCGATTCAGTGGAAGCCAGAGATCTGATTTTTTTTTTTTCAAATTATTTTTTTTTTAGTTATGAACCAAAATATTGTAATGGAAAATATTTCAAGAGAGTAACTTCAGTTTCAGTCGCTGGAGATGCTGCAGGTGTTGCCAGCAACAAGTGAAGATGATGAAAACATTATCTGAGGAACAAATCAATCTCCACTGTTTTCCAGAGACTAAAATTAAAAATATTGCACAAGTCTATGTGGCAGAAAGCCAGAGATTTCTACAGCATGAAATGGTGTTCTTCAGTTCAGAGTGTCTGCCTTTAGAGAACGACAGTGCTGGATTTTACAGAGGGTGGAAAAGCATAGGCAGCCTTCCTGTAGGGCCTCTAACAACATCTGCATGTGCGATGTTTGAATTAAAAGAGCACCCTGAGTATTTAAGAAACAGATGTTTAAGCCTGTAGGACACAATTAGCTACAAGCTTGGAATTTTCAAAAGCAGCCTGTGGCAATTACATCTCTAATGGACATTGAATTTCAATGACAGGTACGTAGCTAACTGCTCCAGGCTGCCTTCAAAATTCGTTTATCAGTTTATCTCTAAAATTCAGTTTATGTGAGGACAGTTTTCAGTCTCAGGTTCATAGTGTAAAGAGTTTGAAACACAGGTAACTGAAATGTGATGGCTATGCAAGCCTTGCACCCACCCTGTGAGCCACCCCATGGAAACACACCTTTTCACAGAAGTGTTCTCGTTCTGTGCACCAATATTACACTCCCAACCACCCACCCCAGGGAAACAACAGGCAGGTGCCTTGCCAGCAACATTTTTATGGCCAATACACCACCGCCTCTCAGTAACAACCAACATCATTAAGCAAAGTTGCTGGCTGACCCTGTCATGTCACGTTCTGGGGTGACTGGATAGAGTTATTTGCCAACGTGCGAGCTAGAAATTTCCACCTCTAACAGGTATGTTTAAAATAACGCCTGTAGCAGATGACTTTGGTCCATGAAAATACTGTGGACAATAAACAATGTGATATTGTAGCTGCTTTGTGTGTCTCCATAACCAAGAAAAAAAAAAAAGTTTGAGAAGGTACTAGTGCTACAGAAAGGAAGCAGCATTTCCAGCAGGGCAGGAGGACACTAACTAGGTTTCTCAAATAACTTAAAAAGGAGAAACAACCATGCCAAAAAGAAATAAGAATTTCCACAATGTCATTGCACTTATTCCATCTGCACCACACCTCTCCTTCATTCACACTGTACACCTGGAGAACGTACATTAAATGATTACAATATTAACAGGGTATCTAAAATACTGGAGTCATTCAGCTGAATGCCTGAAAATATCCAGAGATCTGGTATGTTAAAGCGTGAAAACACAAACATACAAGAGCTAAGCTATGTTTTGACATGCAAATTGTTCTAAATTCTTTCAGCAGAAGGTCTAGTTCAGTCATGAACAGCTGCCTGCTCGCTTCCTGGAAGCTGGTGACAAATCTGTTTCAGCAGAGCCAGGTATTTTCCTCTTCACGTCACTTAAACAACAGTAAAGCAGAGGCAGTCCCATGGCTGGACTGGTCCTAATTGCCTAACACTTCAGATAACCATTGCTCTCAAGAATTAGAAAAATATATGTATAAAAACCCACCCAGATTAAAGGCTCACAGTTTCTACAATGCTCGGTCAGGTTTTAAATAATTTGTTTCCACCTTCCCTTGCTAAAGAAATACTTAAACCTTTGACACTGAAGGGACCTGCCATTCAAGACTCTTGAAGCTCTCTGGACCAAAAACCAGGTCTTGAAACCACAAGGGCTTTCAGAGATACCTAATCTTTAAAGTAAAAAGGAAGCGTCACTGTCTTGAATCAACTACTCAAACCAAATCAGGCCCTTTTGCTCAATTTGGTTTATTACAGAGCTCAAGTGACTCAGTGGCACCTGAAAAACGGAGTGCAAACCCCTAAGTCACCTCGCTGCTTCGATAAATTGCCCTCCTGCATGCTGCAGGATTCAGACCCCTTCTTTTGGGTGTGATGCAAACAGTGCCTGCAGTAAGATAAATTCCCCCTTTTCCCCCCAGGTATCCTTTCTAATTAAAATAGCTAAAGCATTGCTATTGTAAATGTACAGTGAATCTTTTTTCATCATAATAGGAAATTCAAGTATTTAATAAAACCCCAAAGTATTTATTTACACTGATCTGGTCAATTCGTTTTGGTCAACAGGCAATAAATACAGAAATCTATGCATTTACTGCTGGAATAGAGAGAAACCAGACTATCAGCTCCTTGATACTCTATCACCCTCTCAGCCACTGAAGGACTATGAAACAGTTCTCAGTTCATGCCATTTTTACCAACTAATTCTTCACAACCATAAAATAAAGGGGTCACACAGATTTCTGTGCCACTTTCACAGTCCAACCAACAGATTAAAATCCCATTTCCCGTTTCTTACCATTACTTTCACTGGTCTAGCCACAGGTAATGAGAAATCTGGTTAGTTTCCATCTGCCTTTGATGCAACCACATACACAACAATGGGCAGTTAAAACTCCTACTTTTAAAATGCTGTTAGTTATGCAGAAGGCCAGAGAACTTTATTAACCAATCATCTGATATCAGACTTCTTTAGATCCATACATCTAAAGATCAAGGGTTTACAGGATTTGTTGAACTGACATTTGTTTCAATTCCACATACCCAATAAAAATCAGAAAGTTTCTTAATCCCTTAGTTTTACTGTTGTTTCACTTCTTGAATAAAGGAAGTGACAGTTGAGTGTTAATCTAAAACCAAAAATATGCAATATCATGGCTACCAATTAAAACCCAGAATTTTGTGACAAAGCATTTTTACACGCGTATGTCAAAAATGCTTAATCAACCTAAATCTCAGAAATAATATACAAGGAAGGAAATCATGTCTGAAAGCCCTTAAAGCTCAGTAACACTGGATATGTTCAACAGCAACTAAGACATCATTAGTTTTATTTTTTTCAAGCTCCATCATTAAGAGACTGATTAATCACACAGTGCAGAAATTAAAATCTCACTGCAACTCACTCAAAACATAGTATGGACTGCAAAGCAGCTGTACGTCATTTCAAATAGAAGTTTTGCCTAAATGCAGTGTGTGGTAAAATTCAGCAACACCTCGGGCTGGTGCTGGGCAGACAGAACCATGATGATGCCAAACCCTGGTGATCCCTCACACGAGTCAGCCCGTACGGGGAAAGGCTGGATACGCCCCTACAGAGACCCTTGTGCTGGCAGGCAATCAAATGGCAGGGAAAATGTTGAAAAAAAAAGAAGAGTGGTCTGTAGCACCTGCCTTTTCTGCATCTTCACGTTGGTAATTCCATAAAAGTTTTAGTTATGTCTGCTTTATTTTCTGTTCCAGTTCATGCTTGTGCTTAATAAGCCGTTCTATTTCTGTTCCTAGAGTTTGAAGGTTTTCCTTTGGGGGGGGGAAAAAAGAAAAAAAAGGACAGGGTAAGTTATATAAGTTATACAGGGAGAATGACTCAATCAGCACAAAATGCACTAATAAGTTAAAATTACTGTTTATGTCAGCAGGTTGATACTTTCAAGTACCCAGAACAAGTGCAAATGATTAGACAGAGTTGGAGAAAACCAAGCTCATTTCAATAAAAGATGCAAAGGTCCCAGCAAGTCTTTTTTTTGCAGTTACTAATATTCTACAGGCTGTCTAGAAAGTATAGTGTTCAAGGGGAATGATAATTACAGGAAGAGATGTGATGTCCAACTTCTGCTGAACACTGTGGTCCAGCTGGCAGCCTGCACAGCACTCTCCAGCCCTGATGCCTGCCCCATGCAGCAGACGTGCTGCCCCAACACCTCCACAGGGCACCCCACTGCTGCAGGGCCCCCAGCTCCACGGGACAGAATGAATCATAGAATCATAGGATCGTCTAGGTTGGAAGAGACCCTTGGGATCATCGAGTCCAACCATCTACCCTACTCTACAAAGTCCTCCCCTACACCATGTCCCTCAGCACTGCATCTAAACGGCCCTTAAACACAGCCAGGGATGGTGACTCCACCCCCTCCCTGGGCAGCCTGTTCCAATGCCCGACCACTCTTTTGGTGAAAAATTCTTTCCTAATGTTCAATCTAAACCTACCCTGTTGGAGCTTGAAGCCATTCCCTCTCGTTCTGTCACTAATTACCTGTGAGAAGAGACCAGCACCAACCTCTCTACAGTGTCCTTTCACGTAGTTGTAGAGAGTGATAAGGTCTCCCCTCAGCCTCCTCTTCCTCATGCTAATGCAGAGGCTCTTCCCTGCTGGATGCACAGGCAGCCCAGAATTTATTTCAAGCAGCAGCCCGTTACTGTGGAATACGAGGGTCCCAAAGCAGTGTGTATCACCTTACAGAACTCTTGGATTAACCCAATGCTATCAGCATCACCAATTCACAATGAGCTGACCTCCTCCTTTTAACAGCATGCACCTCTTTGAAGGCAACGTCTCAGAACCACAAGAACGTGCTAAAGAACTGGCAGAGCTACTCACTTTCAATGTAATATTTTTCAGTAATGTATCTTCTAACACAGCCTGCAGCTTCCTGTTTATCTCTAAGGAGAGTTCCAAGGTGAGACCGCTATCTGCGGGATGAGATGTATAGAGAGATGCCATAATCCCACCCCGTCTACTCAAGTGAACTTTGTTGAAGTCAGAGGCCTCTGAGGATAGTGTTCCAGCTTCTTCCCGCAAAATGTAACTCTGAATAATCCTGGGGGGAAAGAAAAAATTAAAAAACAACATAGCATTACAAGGCAGTGAAAAGTCAGACACTGAAGTAACTTCAGATTCCAGACATAGAGTAATTCTATTTTCAAGTCTTACTGAAAACGCAGTAAAAATCAACTCCTGTGTTTCTAGGTCAGAGGAAAACCTGAGATACCACAAGAGACACTGGTAAACTGAGTCACTACAATGCACAAGGCTTAAGTATTTGGAAGTATTTTGATAAAATTGCTACTGAAGCAAAAAAGGTATTCTCTCTACAAAAAAATATCCCTCTCTACTTTCCTTTGTGGACAGACTCCAGACAGAGAATCTTAAGCTTTCTACAGATCAGGCAAAAATGACCAAGTCTCTACTTAAGAGCCTTCACAAGCTGTGATCATGTTCTAGGAAATGGTACCAGATGGGCATGAATGTACAGGCTCATTAAGCAAGGGCTATACAGACAATTGTACTTTCCAGGGGAAGGAATATGCCCCAATTTTCAAGTTTCAGACATCATCCTGTAAAATGAGATTTCCATGTTAGTGGAATCTCATCTCACACATTAAATACCAACCACCTTTGGCTCAGATACGTTACTTATTTGATATGCATGCCAGACTACCATCTGCAATTATGCAGATTCGCCTTCCAAAACAAACACAATCAGCACCCTTTTAAGCACATGAAGACAAAGGACACTCCATTAGCCAGTGGCAGCAGTCCACCTCAAATCAGCCACCTGTTGACCATTTTGCTACCAAAAAACCCACTTGCACTATTCTATTCCGCCTGAAAAATTCTGGTAGTAAACAACTCAGCAGTTACTGTAACTGCTGGGGAAAGATAAGGAGAAAAAAAACCCAAGCAAGACTAATCGTACCTTTGAGATCTACTGTCACTGCAATATTTTTACTATTTTAAATATTTCCTTAAACAATTCCTTGTTTTACATAAAATTCAGAATACTTGTCTAGTGCAGCAGTTCCATACTGAAAGACTGGATGAACAGAACCCAGAACCTACTTGGTTTTTTTCCTGATTTCCTCCACCAGTTGTTTAATGTGATCCTCCATAAACTCCATCTTCTCATTTTTTCGAGCATGTGCCTTCTGTAGCCTTAGTATTCTCTCGACCAAGACAGACTTGTCCACCTCTGGAAAGCTGTCCACAGCTACTGAAGATCCAGTGTTCTCAGGTGACCGATCCTCATTGCTGCTGCGCGCATTAAGGGACCCTGCAAACACATCCGGATTTGTAAGAGCTCTCCTTTGCTTTTATAGCAGGTAAAACACCCCTACTGGTGCAGTGCATCCATTCGTTACATTTCAGTAGAATAAGATGTTCCTTCAGAATGTCAGTTTCCCTTATATGTTTGTGGGATTTTATATAAACAATCCTTATAGCATTTAAATGATACATGCTGAAACAGCAGTGTAGTCCCCTAGCACAGACAGAGCTCCTTTAGCATAAGTGTGCTTAATTCAGTAATGCTTATTCCTGTATAAATACCTTCATATTCATTAATATTACTATGCGCAGGACTGAGTTTATTTTAAACATACCTGGCTTGGAGTCCACTAAAACTGCAACACATCAATAAGTGTTTACAGACTGACAAAACCCTTATGTATAACCACTCTGCAGCAGTGATCACTTAGAGCTTGAAATACTTTCTCTTCTTTCTATTCTTCTAAGTATTTATCTCTCTTGTACAGGGAGATTACAGGACACTGACAGAACTAACCCAACTTAAAACCCAAAGATATTGAGGAAAAAACCAGATGTTTTCAGTGCTAAAAATAACCACTTTACTTGTAACTGGATAGAAAATAATGAATTTTACACAAGTAGGCTGATGCCTCTAAACATGCTAATTGATTTATCATTTACACGGTTGCAACTGTCAATAGTGCAATTAAACAATGTTGGAAGCCACTGCTCATTTCTGTTTTGCCTCTGGCAGCATTTAAGAGGGTCCTCTATAAACTAGAGTCCTCTGAGCTCCCTCCAAACATAAAAGCAACAAAATAAAAAAGGTAGGTGTTTAGAAAGAACCAAAATACATAAACATTATACTTTAATCTCGTAATAAGAATAAGCACCTACAACTGCATTCAGGCAAGTGCATTTTGGTGCTTAAAGGCTATTTTGTCAGCTGTACCGGGAGGCTGCCCACACATCACACATGCTTAAGCCACAGAAAGAGCACGGCTCACGGCAGCACACCATGGCAACCTCATTAAGTTGGAAGGAGTGTTTTGGCAGCCCCACCATGTGCTATATTACCTGATGAACTGGAACGGCTCCCCATGCTGCTGACTTCTTTGTCATAATTACCATTTTCCATCTGATCCAATTTCCTGCGTGCTATAAGTATAATAAAATGACGGTTACCAACTGCAGATTAAAAACCCCAAATCACAGTGTTACACAACATACAAATCCTCTAATCCTCTCTGACCTGCACTCATTTTGACAACTGAAAGATAATGGCAGCAACTAAAAATCTTTGGGGGGGAATCCCAAAAACAGACAGCCCCCCTCCTCTCCCTGCTCCCCACCATGAAGCACCCTGATGCAACATCCACCAGGATCCCTACATCCTGCAGCAGCTGCCAGCTGAAGAGGGTAATGTCATGCATAGGATTAACTGGGAATCAAAAGACTTAAATTTGATTTTACTTTTGATTAAGACTGCCACGTAAGTAACTAGTGAATGACAGAATGGCAACTGTTCAGGGATCTGATAGCTGTATCACTACTGGGAGCTGAATGTAGCACTTGTGCCAGAAGCACCACTCATTCAGAAGGGATCAAGAGGGAAAGCACACAGCTGTTCATATACACACAGAGAGACATGGAACTCGCCTCGCACAATGCCAGCAGGATCTCTTCTTTCTAATATATTTTAGATAGATTTGATTACATTTGCACTCAGAGCACATGCATTATGGGGTACTTAATGATTTCTGTTTGTTGACAAAATTAGTCATCAGTCTCTCCATATCCATCTTTAAAAACTGAAGTGCTCTGTTTAATATCTGTTACCAGCAATTCCTGAGACAGCAGCTAAGAAACTTCTAGCAACGTTTGAACATACTCCTACAGAGACCAGGATCCTTATATACCCACAGTGGCATTTCAGTAGTCATAGACATGATAACGAAGGTCAAGTTCTTTCAAAATAAATCCTTCCTTTTATGCCTAAGTCTATTTCAAAAGTTATGACTGAAAATCGACACTAATCTCTGTTCCCTGCAACTGCAGTTTCCCCAAGGTCTAACTTGGTCACTCACTCTCCTTGTCTCCAGGGACAGGGAGAGCTTGTAGGGCTACACACAGTGTGCGTACACTGACAGGACCCTGTCCAGGGGCTTACAGATGGGGCTGAAAATATCTGAAAATAATTTCGACCTAGCTGAAGTTGTTTTGTGAGGTCTTTCAGGTTTGCTGCATGCTTGCGCTTCTGGGTGGCCAGTTCATCTTTCAGTTCATCCACGTGGGTCTTCAGCGCCGTCAGCTCCTTCTGCTCTGAAGCGAGCTGAGCCTGTAGCGCCTCAACCTCTAGCTTCCTCTGATCCTCCTCCTTCTGCAACTTGGTGGCCTGAAATTGTAGTTCTATTTTCAGTCATATACCAAAAAAAAAAAAATCCAGGCTAACCACACTGTATACATATACCATACTGTAACTCAACAGCCCTGACTCTGCACTTTACCTTCCATCTGAGAATCATTCACATTTTACATTTATTGTTTAGGCTAAACACTACCACTGCAAACAAATATGCAGCACAGGGCAACACTGCAGTAAGACTCCTGAACTATCTCCAAAACATCCACATGATACAGTACAGAGCCATGCAGAGGTGCACAGTGCAGTCATATACCCTTCCATGGCACACTAAGTTTGTTAAAAATCACATTTATGTCATAGTACAAAGAGTACCAAAGAAACGGTTTAAAGTAATAAATTTTACAAACAAATTGCAACCTTTTGATTATTTCAATGACAGTTGCACAGAGAACAGCTCTTCCAGAAAGACAGAACACTTCCAGAAAGACAGAAAGAGCAACACAGTAACCCTCCCTCACCCCTGTGCAGCACGTGTCAGGATTTCTTTGCCCTTAGAAACACAAGGTGTACATATCCTGCTACTATTGTTCTATCAAATTGGCAAACTCAACGAAAAATTGCAACCAGGTGAAGACACAAGGTGGAATTCATATGCCACATCTTCATCAGCACCAGGAGTCTTACTAGTGCAAAAACCAAGCTGCACACTCTACTCACCAGATCATCTTTAGCCTGTTGAACACATTCCAGCTGGTTCTGCAGCTCTCTTTCGCTGTAAGAAAGCTTATCCAATTGGCTCTGTAAGGAATTGTTTTCAGACTGAAGCTGTGCATTCTTACTGGTTAATTTTTCAGTGAATATCAATAGCTCAGATTCTCTTTTCCGACTACCTTCAATGTCCTTCTGGAGATCAGCAATCAGAGAATTGAAACCATCTACTTCTTCCTTTAGAGCACTGATTTCTTGTTCATCTCTGTCAAAACAATTGTATCTTATCAGGGATAAACTGAGCTTAAAGATAAGAAAACTTATTGAAATAGAAGTGATCAGGTCAAGACCAAATAAGGCAAAGGAACAATTAATGACCTTGGGGCATCTGTTAGTCACTGAATGGTTTTAAATTCTGAGAGAGTTTGCAGATTCCACTTCATGACATGTTGCAGTGCTGAAGTGACAGACATTTCTACCCCTCAGAAGGACATGCAGTGATCAGCTTCCTCATGGAAGACCATCTCTCTTTACCCAACTTCACGAGTTTCAGTATAGGGTATAAATAAAACCCTCAAAAACATATCCTGTAGGTAAGAGGAAGGTCTGCAGATCCAACAGAAGAGGTCACTCTGTAAGAGGACTTCTCTTTAAGAGATGGGGAAACACCCGTTTGAGCTTCTCCAGGACAGCAGCAGTACATCCTTACCCAAGCAGTTCAGCTCAGACTCAAAGAACCTGTTTTACTCCACATTTACTCCCCTAAACCTCTACAAAACAAGTTCACATTTCTACTGAAGCACCCCCATTAGGAGACTTTTGATCTATCACTTGCAAACCATTTGAGTGAGAAAGGCCATATCTTCAGTTATGATCAACATTTCAGAGAAAGTGACTGAAATTACTTCCAAAATTAAATAGCTGTTAACAAAGTTGCAGACTAAAAATGTCCTCCTCATTTGCTCTTACAATATTATGTCATTATTTCTTCAATCACAGAATTTCCTACACCTTTCTAAAACTTTACCTCACCTCTTCCTCACAGGGAGTATGTATATTCAAATTTAAAAAGAAAATTAAAGTTACACTAAGTAAGAGCATATATCTCATTTAATTCCCTCTTAGATAGTGTAATTACCAGGAGGCTTGATTCACTTTAAACCAATAACCCTGTATCAACATGTTTCTTCAAAGAGAGATGAAGAATCCAATAGAGTGAAATGCAGTAATTTCATTTATTCTATGCAACAATAGGAAAAACAGAGGTCAAGACACCAGGATTTCTCTTTCATAGATGATAATGGGACTTTACTGGTCCACGTTTTAAACTTCTGGTTGAGATCCCCTAACTTTATCAAACATCCTAAGGAGTACTGGAAACACACTGAAGGCAGAAAAGTAAAAGACAATATGAAACTTAACGTTGGGATATTAAGTGTTGTACAGGAAGGATACTTAAATAAAAATTTCATTCTTACTCAATTTGGATAAAAGACAGATATTTAAGTACGTCTCAATTATTGAAAGGAAAAGATAACTGGAAAAAAAAAATATGTATTTTTACACTGCAATCAAAGTAATTTCAATTCATTTGGCAAGGTCCCAAATGAAAAATAACTGTTATTGATCGAAGTGTAAGCTCTGATTGTCTCTAACAGATTGCATTTTCCCTAGAATGGCTGATGAGACAGTGCCAATACAGCTGAGCAGCACACAACAAATGGAAAATGCTTCATTCTCTAAACCCCAAGGAAAACATATAATCACTGAAATATTTTTCAATGATAAGTAAGAACTGTTAAAAGCACAGGAGGGACACATGGGTAGTTCTGCTTATCTGACATTTGTCTATATCCATTTATGCAACAAAGTGGAGAGTATTTATATATTCTAGTCCATATGTACCATACAGAAATGTGACTATGCTCAGACACTCCTGAAGTGTCCACAAGATGTCCAACTCTTCTCTGAGATTACTTCCCTAACACAGGGCAGACACCTAGGAGATATAACTTCGTAGTGTACACCAGAAAGCAAGCACTTCTTATTCTAATAATTAAAGACCTAAGAATTAGACTTATCAGTCTCAATCCCCTCATTTTATAAGAAGCCACCAAGGTTGTCTCCAGTACTAGCGATATTGATTTAGGTTAGAAAAACACTTAAATTAGGGCAGGGATTCTTCAAATTAGAATACATTTTAAAGCATCAATAGTTTCAATTTAGAAAAAAAAAAACCAAACATTGCAGATAATCTTTTAAATCACTCCTCAAAGCGCATAGCTGTACCTCTGATGTTGATCCTGCAGACGATCTACAGTTTTGACTCTGTCCAGCAAATTCTGAATTTCAGTTTTCTGTCTATTAATGATTTCTTTATACTTGGATAACTCATCTTCTGTTCTTAAACGTTCATCCTCTAGACACTTTACCTAAATAGAAAAAAACCCAACAAATCATAAACTATTTATTTTCCAAAACACCAGAGCTGAATTATTCTGATCAAATGTCTAGACTGTTGAACAAAGCCTGTGTGCTATTTTTTGGTGATTCCAAGCAGCAAAAAACAATATCCCAAATATTTCAGATCAAATGCAGTCAGAAAAATAAACAGACAAAAAGATGGGGAAAAAAAATAATCAAATTAAACAAGTGTGATCAGCATTAGTTTTGTCCAAAGACTTCAAGCTTACCAGCCTAATCGACCAGGATCCAAAGACATCATCTTTCCCCAGATACGAAGCCAACCCCTTATTACGTCTTCCCCCCTTTCAAAAGGTCCTATAGATTTAAAACCCTGTTCAAAGCTGTTCAAACGTTACAGATAGCTTGTACTTCTTACCACAGGTCACATGTATGACCTCTACAAAACTAGCTTCACAGGCAGGAAAAGTTTACAATTATTTTTCATTTTCCAAAGTTATTAAACTTACAAGATGTTTACTAAATTTTTTCTCACAACTTTCCAGTCCAATGAGGTACATACCATGAAACAAAATATTGCTGTACTATGGATCAATTGATACTCCCAAGAAAGGCTACCCTGAGTCACAGTTACGTATTCCTTCTAATCACAAGCCAGCCAGTTTCTAATCACGCTGCTCATTCCAAAAGAAGTAAAAATACAATTAATAGATTGAATATAGCTTAGCTCCAAAACCCAGCACTATGCCTTTAGCCCCACTGCAACCCAACACAGCACACATTACCTTTGTTCTCAGTGTCCGAAGCTCATCCATGCCTTCTTTAAATGTCCTCTTCAAGTCCTCCAGTTCTTTTATTTTTGCATGATGCACCTTTTTAAAGAACAAAAAGCTCCTTGAGAAATCTAAACGGGCAGTGGCATCTCTTAGGATGTCAAAAAAATCTAGGCCAATGCAGGCCACCACAACAGCTTGGAGGGATTGAGGCAGAACATGTACACTAAAGGTTTGTTTTACTTGCTCTAAAAGTAAAGTAAAGCCTAAAAGCTTCTTTATTCTGAGAAGAAGTGAGAATGAGTGTGATTACACATTCTGGTTTTAAGTGTACAAATCCATGCCACAACAGCCCCTGTGGAAAGTTGTAGGCAAAGTGACACTCGGTTAACTCTGTGAAGCTGTGAGCAGGTACTAAATCATTAGAGAATTTAGCTTTTGGCTAGGAAATCTTTACACAGAATGGAGACTGTTCCTGTCTCTCCTTGCCATATAGCTTGGCAAAATACCAGTCAAAGAAAGGCCTGTCTATCATCTGAGTTTGTGCTCTGAATTATAGCAACATTCATATTTATAAATGGAAAACAGTTATTTTGTCCTCATTATATCATTCTTTTCCCATAACTTTGATTTTAAAAGGTGCATCCAAGGTAATAGCTAAAAACATCCTCCAAAAAGCAGGGCTGAAGGCAGACACCTGGCCTTTAGTATTAGGTGAAAAAGAAAAATGTTTTGCAAAAATTATAAGCACCTTAAAATAAGATTCTCAAAATTAAAAACTCATGGCATTCTTAACTACTATGTTGCCAACTGTGTTGTCTCCACACACCCCACATTTACCTCCAGGTGATCAGACTTCTCCTGAATTTGTTTCTCTAGTTCTCCTTTAGTTACTCGGAGTTTTGCATCCAATTCATTTGATTTAATTTCTTCTGATTCCTAAAAGGATTGAAGATACATAATTACACTTTTAGAGTTTTTATGTTCCCCTTGCTGGTTTCATGAGCACACAGACAGCTTTTCACACCACCGAGTCTTTCCTGTAGGTACATATCTAATAATTCTGGACATGCCAAGAAAGAGACCCCCCAGCCTCCCCCCACTGTGTGCCCATCAAGACAAACATTTTCCCTTTTATTAACAACTTTTCCAAGTACAGAAATCAGCAACAAGTCATTTCAGCCTTGTAGCTCGCACAGGATAATTCTTCCCTGCTACAGCTTAAGGCATAAAGGGAGGAAAAAGGAGACTCAGATGCTGAACACTAATTTTAAGTCCTAAGAAAATGTGCCTACTTGATAGGTTTTTATCATTTCTTGACAGTTTTTCCTTATCTGGTCTGCTTCTTCTTTTGCTTCAGTTAATTTTGTCGTTGCATCTTTGAGGCGTTCTTTGGTTTCCTACAAAAACAGTAATAAACAATGGGTTAAACCTCTTCATCCAACTTAATCTGGGAAAAAGCATTTCTCATAATAAAAGTTCCCTATTTCAGTCTGGAAAGAATTAACAACAAAAAGTATTCTTTTTCTTTCCATTATTTTTCTCATCTATTACTTTATGCAATTTTGTTTGTTCCAACACTGAAAGCACAACAAAAGGACTTCTTAGTTATGTGCTATGCATATTTTCAGATGCTAGATTTAAATCTATCACATAAAAACTGAACTAAGATGACAGTTAAATTAATACAAAAAACAAATTAGAAGTTCATCACCAGATCAAACAGAATCCTCCCCATACATCCTCCCTCACATCCTTTCAACATTTCCATTTCAGTATCAATATCTCTAAGAGCACTATTCTGACCTTTGCCTCAGGTGTTCAAATTAAATAAAAAACACTTTAGAAACAGATTTTAGTACTATATAAAGAATAAATAGTATAGCAACTACATTCCTCTGACTGTATTTTCATGTCATTGCACCAGCACTACTTCACTAACCTTGTGTGAATCCATTTCTGTTTTCAGTTTGTTCTGAGCCCATTTTACTTTGATAACATGAGAATTGATTTCTTCTTTCAATTTCTCTATTTCTTTGTTGAGTCGAGTGGCTTCACCATCCTAAAAAGATTTTATAGGTTTTACTTTATGGACTTAAATCATCCAGTACTTCTACAAGACGACTCCTGCTCAGGTGTCAAATACATGTCTTTTTTCTTTAATGTATGAGTTTTGCAACAGCATGCACAGAATTGAGAGTGCTCCATAATGCCTTAGCCCATCATCCAGTGAAAAACACATCAGTGTTCTGGTTTGAACAGCAAGGTGAGGCAGCATTACTGTTAATATACATTAATGTTATATATATCTGTTAAAAGGCAAAGCACAGTCTAGAGTTCTGATCTAAAATAACTACCTCCTGGGTAAGCTGCACAGTCCTCTTTTTGTTCTTTTTTTGGCAAAAGGATGAGGAAACACAGGTCCAAAGTTGTAAGGTCATGTATTATACAAGGCTACAGACAAAAACTGTGACACCAGTGGAATGGTATTACCAATTATGGAGACTGGTGTGAGCACTGACAGCAAAACATATGCAAGTCTGTGCCAAGAAAGGATGCTAACACAAGCACATCGTGGCATAACCTTCTATACCACTATCCACAGAGCACTGCATTAAGCCAAATTTCCAAACTCTGTTTCTGAAGTAATAAGTTCATCTTGGTAAGATGAAAAAAAAAAAGTTTAAAGCAGCACCATATGAGGGCAGTACAATTCTGTAAAGCTCTAGTGTAAGCCTCAGGAATTATAAAGTTAAGTTTTGTTTAGGCAACCTGAAGTCATACTCCCACTTCCTATTCATGTGAGAGAAGACATTGAGGTAATTTTTTTGTTTCAGAAGCATAATTTTAAGGTCTTTTATTGAGATGTATTTTTCTGATCCTGCTGTTCTTGTCAACTGCCCGTAGCACAACTGCTTAGAGGAGGCCCAAGTCAAAGCCTGAACAATATTAATTTATCAATTTTTGGTTCTTTCACATAAAATTGTATCGTGAAGCACAATACAAAATGACCTGGATAATCTAAGAGGCTGATGGGAATCTTACTGGTTTCTAAAAGAGAATGGCAAATTTTTGGAACTGCCCTGAAGAATTCTATTGCTCTATCAGCAATCTTCAGTAGTATAAGAGAGAAACTATAGTGAAGATACACACAAAAATAGCAAAAAAGACTGCAATATTTTGATGCCATTGCAGTCTTAAAAAAAAATTCCAAACAAGCTAGAAACTCCCTAAAAATCCAGGCATCTGCAGTCTTTTCAACTTTGTCAAAAAAAACCCCTTTAAGTTCCACAAACTTAGTATTCAGGGAAATATTAAAAGGAACTTCAAAAAGATGACTGAACTCAGTAACTTCTCACCCTTCCCTTGGAGGAAAGGGGTTTTCACAGCTATACAGCAAAACCAAATGAAAACAGGTTTCTTTCACCAAGTATAATATCAAACAAGTGATAAGGTTGTTCTGATAGTGCTTTTAATCATTCACTCAAGTCATACAGCAATACTTAGAGCACCTTAGTTTCATAGAGCTGGTGCAATCTCCCTTTTTCCTGAGAAAGCTGCTTGATTTTATTAGTATGCTTCTCAATTTCTTTGTTTGCATCTCGCACTCTTCTCTCAAGTATCTCCTTTTCCTTTCGGAGGTCAAGTGACTCTTTCTCCCCTCGGACATATTTCATCACCATCGTTTCCTTTTCATGGCGTGCTTCTTCACATTTCTTGTTTGCCTTGAAAAATATTAAAATAGAATTAATCAATCTTATATTCCATAACTAGCTTTTATAAGACACTACTGGATATTTTCAGTGTTGCAGTACAGTAGCAAAACAAAGTAGGACTCAAAAGCTCCAGTTTTGCAAAGACTAACATTACACCCCACTAAAGTACTAAAATTTCTCATACTTCTATGTAAAGACATGTATGTAAATATGTACCTAAGCATCTGCACCTTCACAGCTAAAGATCCGAAAAGAGCTATCAATACATCAATAATTTGGAATAGAATTTATTGTTTCAGAAGGAAAGAAGTGTATTTGGTAAGTTTTAGTAACAAAACAATTTTGCAAGTACCCGGTACCAGTGCTCTCTCTTCCCTCGTCCACCTGCCAAATGCACAAACATTATCCCGTGGCTTATTTTAACAGATTTCCCCCCATCCCAGCACTAACAAATTCTGCTTCAAATAAAAAGAGAATTAGACACAGAGCTTTAGAGTTCACACAATACTTGATAAAATATGGTATTAAAAAGAAAAAAAATCTTCTTAGCTTTCAGTAATACAAGAGACAAAGTAAGAGCTTTGTGCTGGAGTTGAGAAAAATATTAATTTTGTGATAACCGGGTTTGAAAAAAGCCACTGCCAGCTTTTACCTCCTTTTGAGCCAAGATCGGCTTAGAGGCAAGGAAAATGAGATAACTCTTTTTATATGTATGGAATTCAACCCTCAAGGGTATCAGGCATTCTAGAATGTTAACAGCTATTTGCCAGTTATCAAAAATGCACATATAACCACACGCTAATAGTTCCAATTTTGGAATATTTTGCTTTACCTAGTGATCTAACAATCTAGCCCACGTTTCCTACAAGAACTAAATTTGTTCATAACACGTTCAATAATTAAAGGTTTTCCTAATTACCTGTTCCATTCGAAAGGCCATCTCTTTATGCAACTGCTGAATAGCATTTTTGGCTGCCGCATCTTGAGTTAAAAGTTTGTCTTTACTAGCTTTCACTTCTTTATTAAGCTCTTCCATTCTTGCTTCCAGCTAAGAGACAACATTATGATATAATTATAGGGAAAAATAAGACTTTGATCATGTTTTGTACAGGCAGAAACATTTCACGCAAAATTAGATGCTTCAACAGATATTTAACTGTATTTTACACTTGTCAAGCTGCAACTATCCATATCAACGTCTAGCTTTGCATTACAGCACAAGCATAAAAGATGTCAATTCTCATCTTCAGTGAGACTGCAGATGCATCAAATCAAGTCAAATACGAGGCACGGTAATTTCCTACACAAAAAAAATTGGACTGACAGCAAATGCTGAGATGCCAGGGCAATGCTGGCTCCTCTCTGAAGTTCCTTCACCTTCCACCCTTTTGTTGCTATCCCTGTGCCATATCCCGCACCGTGCCAGCAAAGCAGTCATGCATCCAATCCATACTGAACTGCACTGGGAATTAATTCATTGAAAAATAACTCGGCAAACGAAGAGGCGCTTAGTCATTGTGCTGGCATTTTTTTTAGCTGCCTGGTGAACCAAGTCAGAGCCCTCATCCAGCTGAAGAATAATTACCAATGTTCAACTGGAACACTTCCCAGAGCGCGATCACTGCACAGTCATGTCAATTCAGTAGAGGAAGCAGCAGCAGCACTAGCACAAGGGCAAGTGGTGGCTACAGAAGCTGTGATGTTACCCAAAGGTTGTTCTAATTGTGCCTCAATGACTATCCTCGTGTTCCAGAGGAAAGTCAATTCACCAAGGTCAGTTTGGTTTCATTTGGTTTTAGGGGGGGTGGCGGAGGGAAGTAAAAAAGTACAAGATCTCAGGGTCAGTATCTTACGTTTTTGTGCAATTCCAAATTGCTACACAAAGGCAAGAACAATCTAAAACGCTCTTGTTATCACACAATGAATTGATCTCACCCTTTTCAGCTTTGCAAACGAATCACTGCCTGTACGAAATCAAAGTTTTACACAAAAAAGCACGCGTGTACAGTTTGCTTGCAGTAGTGAGTGCAACAAAGCTCTCACCGATTTGAAAGCCACCCAGAAAACACCAATTTAGAAATTGTAACATTAAAACATTCACATCAAATGAAAAAACTCAAGTGTTTCACTGCAATGTAATCTTACTTACAACTCTGGGTGATATTCAACTACAATATGAAAGTATTACACTCCAAACTAATATTTTCTGAAATCACCTGCAAGCATGCAATATCACAGATCCTTCTTATCTGACTAGAAAGCAAAAGAAACTCCCTCAAAAATACCTTTTTCTTCAAAAAGGGATAAAGCAATTGCTGTATAACATAGCTTCATGAAATCATACAGCATTATCATGGCAATACAGACACGAGAGAACAAGTAAGCTGCTCATACTGATTTATTCACGCATATGCAATTCTAGTTTGCAGCTTAAAAATAAGACTTTTCAATTCCATTTTCAATCACATCGTGGATTTTCAAAGATTCTTTGAAATTAACCAAAGACAAAAGTTTCTATCTGCATTCCTCTGGAACACCACCAGCCTGACACACGGCTTTGAGAACAGATTTCTGTGTGATGCAGACATTAACAAAGAAACCTGACAACTAGTGTAGTATCACCAGTGCTCTGACAAAGAGAAATTAGTAATCTAAACGCTATCTCTTGCCAGATTTCTAAGCTGTAATCAGTTGGTAAGGTCAGGCCAACCAGTAATGTAGGATCATTAGCAGATAACTGTATCAGACAAGCTGATTCCCACACTAAAACCAGCCCACACCAATACACACCCTACTTTCCTCCTTAGCCTGTCATGGTTCTAACAATTCACTGGGGAAACCCCTGTATACAGGAACTGATAATACCAAAACGATGTGCATTAGCACAGTTAATTCGCTCTACTCTTTATACACCTTCCATATATTGGAAGTTTACATATTGGAAGTATTACATTTACAGCTGTAACACACCCATCCACTTCTACCAGCAGATGCAGTAGTTAACAACAGAAGATAAAGATGACAAATTAAGAAGAAATTTGGCTTGATGAAACATTTGCATAAAATCTCCTTTATGCCCACATACAAGAAATAAATCATTCTCTCAGGATAAAACTCTGACCTTGACATTTTTTGTAAAAAGGTCTAAAAGGTCTTCAACATATGCTGTTTCCAGCAGTAAGCCAAGGTGCACATAACCTACCACCAAGGCAACCCATGAAAAGGGAATTCTCTTGACTTTAAGAGAAACTTCTAAATCTGGAAGGCTTAAGTGATCTCAATCTAGAAATCAGTTTACGCAAAGGCACTTTAGACAATGAATAATTTTCTTGGAATGGAATAGCAGATTTATCTTCCTAAAAAGCTTTGGCTAATAACCACAGGCATTCCTTCCTTCTCTGCGACCAAGGACATGATGTTAAGCAGAGGCAACAGTGACACCGCGTACAGGTGAGATACTAACCAGCACTTCTGGTTTGTTATCTGTACCTGTTTAATAATGTTGAGGTGCTGCTTTTCTGTTTCTGATCGTTTTTTCAATTCATCTTTTAAGTTGTCCTTTTCTGAGCAAATTTCCAAAATCAGTTCTTGATGCTTTTTATTTTCTTTTATCAGTCTGTAAAGAAAAAAAAAAAAAAAGAAACTAAGTGCAAGATACTGCAGTATTGTTTTTTTGTTTGTTTGTTTTTAATTTTGAGATAGATGGCTTTTCCTCCTTGATCTGCAAATTTTCTTGGGAGTTAAGAGCCAGGAACACTAATGAAATCCACAAAAGCCTTAGAAAAACAAAACAGAAGTATGTTGTGCATGTGCAACTTAACTCCAACCAAGCAAGTAGCATCTTCCTTGTAAGCAAATTGCCCATTTCCAGCATTTTGGGGTTATTAATGTCCATGATGATGTGAGGCACTTCAGACCTCTATGCAACTGCAAAACTGTAAATGTTAACGATTTTAAGGTACTTGTAAGATAAGTAATTTCCAGTCAGATAGCTCCAGCAGTCAAATGTCTGCAAACACAGGTACTGTAAGCATTTCATGTCTAGAAATGGCTCAAAGTAGCCCCTGAAGTTCACAATCTGGTAAGAAATGGAACTCTCATGTTCTAAGTCCTAAGTAGGCATGTAACTTCAGCAGCCTCCACGCCTTATAACGTTCTGTTCCTTTGCAGCTCAGCTGTTTCAAGCCTGAGTTGAAGCTGACAGGTATTTAGTCTGACCTTCTATCGCTGCAACAGAAGATAGTTATACATAAACCTCAGAAGTTACATTGTTAGAACTGCTGAATAAACAGAGCCTCGAATGCATTTAAATGTTTAAAAATACAGTTAGATGGTGGACATATAAGGCTGCTAATTGAGTATGTTTCTGGGAAGCATGCACTTACCTGAACAATGTATTTAAATAACCTTTTGCATATACACTTTCATCTTTAGCTTCCCTCCTTTGAAATAAATAAACAAATCTCTAAACAAATGAGGCTTCTAAATTACAAGGAATTCAAAACCACCAGTGAAAGAGAGTTTAGCACTTCTGAACTGTTTTAATCTATTAATGAATATACCTGGATTACAAATTCTTAATCCACACAATTGCTGTTCATTATATCCTAGACCTGATCACAGGACACAACTGGGCTATTTCTGGAGCAACATTACAAGAAATTCTGCTGATCCTAAACTAAGGGACAAAATCAACCCAACCCAGAATGTCCCTTGGACCAAACATAAAATGTTCCACAACAGTTTTACACTCCTGAGATGAGTCCCCAAAAGTCGAAGGGCAGCAGCTAGGATACCATCTGGCAAAAAGAAAGAGACTAAAGACATGTTCAGAGAAAAAACTTTCTGTGTGTATACATAATATATACATATATTTATATAAACGTTTGTCTCTAAAAGTAATTGGTCCACAGCTGAAAACACCTGCCTTTGAGTACCCAAATATCTTGTTCACTCACCATCTCCCAGAATTACAACCATCTACACACCCACCACTTCAGACTCCCACTCCTCCTCCCCCGTAGGTACTGAATTCTATGCATTCCCAAGCTCTCCTGTCATCAACTGACTCTCCTCACATTTATGATTTCTGTCAGAGGATAACTGATGCAGTGCAAGAGAATATTTTCCCTACTCTGCTCCTGGGCACCTATTCTCCCTCTGCCAGGTTTTCCCTCCCTTTGATGTCCTCCCATTCCACGGTACCAGAGTGCCTTACATGAAAAGTAGGACACCCACAACCAGCTCTGCAAGCAGGAATAAATTTGAAGTTAGAGGCTACATTTCATTAGCAAAAAACATTTCTAGACTGGTAACTGAATAAACATCAAGTAGCTGAATCAAGAAATCAAGCAATGAACTGAATTTTCACGAATATAATATTCTTCACATAGTGTACTACCTGGTAGAACTATTAAGCCCAGTTTATCACAGCAAAATTTAAAAGACATGTATTTTGAAAGCCCTCCTATCAATCAAATGTGGTAAGACTGTATTTATCTATATATGACATTTCCAACTCAAAGAATAGCTCTGGACTGATTAGCAACTTTGCTGGATTATGACAGGAGACTGAATACTACTTAAAAAAATGAAACAGGCAATTTCAGACTCATAAATGAAACACACATAGTGGGAGTTAGTAATTACAAAGATTCATTTCTCCAAGGACATATAGAGACTGAATGAATCCTGGACTATTTTTATATCAACATTACTTTTACTGTATTTAAGTAATTCTAGACATTGGCAGGCTATTCAACTTAACAGTTGGCTATTCAGTTCCTGCCAAATTCTGCAAGAATTCAGAGATCTAAGCACACATTTTTATTTATAAGTACATACCACAAGTAAAAATAATTCCTCGCTTGAAGAACATAATTAAAAAAGCTCATTAACTGTCCTTAGAAGAACTCACAAGAGACTACTTGTTTTATACCAAAATGTTGTATGCAGTTGCACACCACTTGCAAGCAAAACTGTTAGTACACACCTCCAATTGTGATAAGCATACTCGAATACTCACTTTTTTATAGTTTGTTCTTGCTCCAGGTACTTATCTTGCACACATTTTTCAAAGGCGGCCAAGGCCTGCTCACCCTTCCGCACACCATTGGGGAATTTTCGTTCCTTTGAAAAATCCGTAGATAAGAGTTCAGACTCTATTTCCTTTAGCAAATCCTCCTGTGAGGAAGTCTGATGTATTGTGGAAATAAGCTTCTTTGTGCAGTCTGTGTCATAAGGGCTTTCTGAGTAGATTTTATCGCTGGATTTTTTCACAAAGTCAGACTCCTCCCTTAGCTCCTGTAGTAGTTCCATTAATGATTGTTCCGTCTGATTAGTTTTTGGATCCTGTCGTTCAAATTCTGCACTGGATATATGTTCTGGTTTTGTGAAGCCTTCTACCTTTCTTTCAGAGCAGTTATTGGCACAGCAGTCTGCTCCACCATGCTGCTGCTCCTGTCTTTCTGCCAGGGCCCCATTGCTGCTTATGCCATGAACTGCTGAATCCTGGTCCGAGGGCAACAACTTGGATTCCCCTTCATCCCCAGTACAACTGATGCTCGAGCAGTCCTTCATTCCAGATGTTTTATCAGACTTCTCGTTACCTGGGGACCTGGAAGAGGCATCATCTGATGGATTGACTGGTTCCAGCGTGCTTTGCATTTCTGGTAAATATCCCTCCATCATTTTTCTTTGGAAATCTAGAAGTAGAATTCACAGTACAGAACATATTATAATTAAAATTAAAAGAGATTGGGAGAAGGGAAAGAAAGGCCCCTGGAAAGTAAAAATCAAAGGGCAAAAATATTTAGATACATAAGTGTTATACACAATTTATTGCCTAACTTTTAAGTAAATGCTCCAATACAAATTTTTCTAAAAGAAGATGAGAAATCAAGGATGGCAAACAGGAAGCAGTGGAACATAAATGCCAAGCCAATAAAAAAATCCCCAGAGCTTTTTAGAATTAGTAATTCTATGACTTAAATCCACAAATAGTCCATGTCATCACCTCTGAAAGTAACTCAGACATGAATAATAATTAAAAAATAATCTACAGCCTTACAGCTTCATTTTCCTATATGCTATTTGAAAGCAGTAATACGCCTTGACCTACTCATTTTTAGAACACAGGGCGACTTCCTCATTCAGCCAGAACATACAACTTCCTTACTGTCACGTCCTCCCTCACCATCCATACAGCAAAATGGGTCTGTACCAGGCAACCTAAAGGAAGGAAGGGACCGGGGGAGGATGGGGGTGAGAGTCTCTGTTCCCATCTGCTTTAAGCAGCCAAAATCCCTTGCTGGGAGAGCACAGATGGCCTGCAGCAGATTTGCTCTCTCTCTTGAGAGGTAGCTTGCAGAGCAAACATTTGAGGAGGTGAAAAGCTATGTAGAAAGTGTTCTTCTAGAAGGACACCGTACTGAGATCCAAACAGCCAGAACACTTAGGGAAGAGCCTGGGTATAATGATGTGTCGTCTTTTTCAGGAATCCCAGATGGTCAGGTGTCTGGAAAGACTGCTGTCATTTTTAGCAAGTACAAGAAGCCCTTATCATATTATTTCCATTAGGAGAAATTCAATACAACAGTCATAACTTTTAGATGCAACTCTATCCCCCAATACTAAATAAATTGGACAATTTAATCTAGCAAGGCATTTTTTTTGTCTATAAATTCAACTCTGCTATTCCAACAATTATCTCAAAGGAAGCAGTAACCTTGCCATCTTGCAACACCAAGTTTGTTTTCATACTTGCTTTCTCCTTTGTTTAACTTTCACACAGTCCGAGTCACTCAGTTACACACTCCAGGCCCTGCACTCTGACTCAGTCTGAAAGGAAGCCCTTGGTGCTGCTGGGCTCTGCTCCTCCTGAGTCCTTCCTTATTAACCAGCACTTACTACTAAGGCTGACATTGTTAGAGCAGAGGGATCCCATTAGGTTTGTGGCTAATTGCTACCACTACCACCTTTCACTATTACATACAAGAATCAGATAGGGAATAAATGCAGGAGCCTCAGCCCAGCTGTTTCTACCAGGAAATACCATCAAATGAAGAACCTACCACTAGCATCTGAAACCAACCCTTGGGCTACAACTGCCAGTTAATCAACAAAAGAAAAGCATGAAAAGCTGGACATGAGCCGACAATGCGGCTCGCAGCTCAGAAAGCCAACCGTATCCTGGGCTGCATCAAAAGCAGCGTGGCCAGCAGGTTGAGGGAGATGATTCTCCCCTTCTACTCTGCTCTGGTGAGACCCCACCTGGAGCACTGCATCCAGCACTGGAGCTTCTTGCTCCTCAGTCCCCTGCACGAGATGTCTGCCTCACCCTCACAATGTATGTCCCTTGCTCTGCCCGTGCCACAGGAGAATGCAATCACTACTGAGCCAACTCAAAATGCCCAGGGCAGGAACCTCTCAAAGCCCCATTCTGAGATGAGCCCAGCCCACACTCACCTGCCCGCATACCTCAAATAACAACCCATCTCACAAAACTGTCAGACATCTAGTGTGGCATGTGGAAAGCTTTCTGTCACTGGCTTTATAACACTTTCTGCTGCTGTGACAGGACGCTCAGCACCCACAGGACTGGTTTGACCAGTCCTCCTCCTCCTCCACTGTTTTACAGGTCACAATTATTTTGACACTCTAACACAAGTTGCCCACGTTCCTGCCCCTGTTGTAAAGCAAACAAGACAGCCGGCTGTGTTTCCCCACAAAGCAGTAATGCAAAATAAAGCAAGTGGAAACGCATCAATTCAAAACCCGGTGATGTGAGCAGCAGAGAATGAGGAACAACATCGCTCAGCCAGGCTTCCTTCACAGCAGTAATGGGCCCATGGGCCTGCTTTGCATAAGCACACAAAACCCCCCTCTGCATATATACGTTAGAATATAAGCAAGATGTACCCTTCAAAAAACAAAACTTTGGTTTGGGGTTGTTTTTTTTTGACAACAGGCAGTGGAATCACACTCTTCCTCATTATCTCACTGTATTCACGTAAATTAAGCTTCAATCTGTATCAATGCGTATCATGTCTCTTTTAAATATTACGTTAGGACTTGGAGAAGTAGTTAAACTGCAGCCACAGGGGACACAACATTAAAGGTTGGTTGCAGCTCTTTTTGCCAGTACTATTTCTTGTACTACTGTCACCGAGATGTGCTTATCTGCCAAATTGCTGATAGCATAACTGATTGGAATCAAACGCAGGGAGCAGAGAGCCTGCCGATATGATGAGTGGCCAGGACACCAACGTTTTAAGGCAGAAATGTCTCACAGCTACATAAATCTTGCTCCTCAGTCCCCTGCACGAGATGTCTGCCTCACCCTCACAATGTATGTCCCTTGCTCTGCCCGTGCCACAGGAGAATGCAATCACTACTGAGCCAACTCAAAATGCCCAGGGCAGGAACCTCTCAAAGCCCCATTCTGAGATGAGCCCAGCCCACACTCACCTGCCCGCATACCTCAAATAACAACCCATCTCACAAAACTGTCAGACATCTAGTGTGGCATGTGGAAAGCTTTCTGTCACTGGCTTTATAACACTTTCTGCTGCTGTGACAGGACGCTCAGCACCCACAGGACTGGTTTGACCAGTCCTCCTCCTCCTCCACTGTTTTACAGGTCACAATTATTTTGACACTCTAACACAAGTTGCCCACGTTCCTGCCCCTGTTGTAAAGCAAACAAGACAGCCGGCTGTGTTTCCCCACAAAGCAGTAATGCAAAATAAAGCAAGTGGAAACGCATCAATTCAAAACCCGGTGATGTGAGCAGCAGAGAATGAGGAACAACATCGCTCAGCCAGGCTTCCTTCACAGCAGTAATGGGCCCATGGGCCTGCTTTGCATAAGCACACAAAACCCCCCTCTGCATATATACGTTAGAATATAAGCAAGATGTACCCTTCAAAAAACAAAACTTTGGTTTGGGGTTGTTTTTTTTTGACAACAGGCAGTGGAATCACACTCTTCCTCATTATCTCACTGTATTCACGTAAATTAAGCTTCAATCTGTATCAATGCGTATCATGTCTCTTTTAAATATTACGTTAGGACTTGGAGAAGTAGTTAAACTGCAGCCACAGGGGACACAACATTAAAGGTTGGTTGCAGCTCTTTTTGCCAGTACTATTTCTTGTACTACTGTCACCGAGATGTGCTTATCTGCCAAATTGCTGATAGCATAACTGATTGGAATCAAACGCAGGGAGCAGAGAGCCTGCCGATATGATGAGTGGCCAGGACACCAACGTTTTAAGGCAGAAATGTCTCACAGCTACATAAAGGAAAGCAAAGACTCAGGAAATAATACCTTCTTCATCCACTTCCTTTGTTACACAACAGAAACATCCTCTATTAACTGCTAATCAAATGATAAAAATAAGAACAGATCTGGCAATCATTCATGTAAGCTCTTCACTGAAGTATGATACAACACACATATTGATTTTCTAGGGAGAACATCGAAAACTTTGATGGTCCTGTAACACACCAAAAAGAAAAAAGAAAAATATTTCTTCTGGCTACCTTCAGTAGCAGTCATCCTGAGTGTTTGTTCCACCCCAGCCTCAGGGGCTATTCATAGATATGAAAGTACAAACATATAAAAAATCTTGCAGAATCATTGCATATAAAAAGGTAAAACTTGCAGATGAATAAAATGTACTGGAACTGTTCTGGGTATTTCCCCTTACATTCTATTGTTCACAAGTAATCTATGTCAAGGTTTAAAATTACTTCATTTTTAAGTCAAATAACATTTAATACTTAGCTATTTTAACTGTATAGACCTGCTCTGCAAACTACCAGTATGTAGGGCAAAGGTCTTGTTCTACTAAATCAATCAATCTGCTAAGTGGACAAGTCAAGTAACTTGTCCTTACGTAAGACTGGGTCTCACTCTTGCAAGCTGAGAATGTACTACGGAAGAAAAACTGGATTTCTGGGAGAAAAAAGCTCTAATAATGGTACTACATCATTGATGTGATAATTTGGGTAATTAGGTACTTGTTTATAATTTAATTTTTACAGTGAAATGAAAATGGAATTTCCAGTAGAGCTATTGGTATCACGTTTGAATGCTAAATTGACTGTTTACTAATCCAAGATTTGCTAAACTACGTTAAATAACTGTATAAGAAAGTATGTGACCAGACATTAATATTTAGCTCCTGGACTAAAACCATAGCAACTGCCTGCAGAATTAAAAAGCCAATTAACAGCTAGAAGATACATTCCACTACTTTTAAAAGATCCTCCAATTCAAAGTCTGATTTTAATACAACTATACATTCTGATAAATCAGGTTATGAGAATTAATTTTCACATGTGATTATTCTTGGCTTAGCATCACTTTTCCAAGTACACTCTTAGATTCAGGTATACCACCTGAAAATCTTTCCCCCTATTCCAGTCCTGCTAATTCCCAGCCACTAGAGGGTAATTCAGGATGAAAGCAATTCCCTGTGTGCTTCCTACTGTCTGCACAGATCTAATTAGGAACACAACCTTTCCCAGCTAGAGCCTGCTATTCTGTTATTACAGGCATGCACTGAGATTCTGGTACATTTTAATTCAGTATTATGCCATTGCAAACTGCCTGTCTTTTCAATCTTCTTATGCAGCACAAACATCATTCTTTTAAATCCCAGACTACAAAGGACTTTCCTAAGCAAATGCCCTATTAATGCTAGCATTTAACTCCATAAAATAGGTAGCTTGATCCAAGCTATCAACGCTTGTTTTAAACAGTCAAGAAGGAGGAAATTACTTTGTTTCAGCCGATTTCAAAATGCATGTGAGATGACACCTAAAGAAACATATTAAATGACAACTATAGGAAGAATTTTCTGAGGTGCGGCCGCCTAGAATTCACTAACAACAAGGGGAAAAGAGAGAGCGTGTACCTTGTCACCTAGTAACTATCACAATGGGGTGCTTTTACAATAAACAAATTAAAGAATGACAGAAATGTGCGCCTGGGGTTGTTCCATGAGCAAACAGACTGACGGTCAAGGCCCCAAGAAATAAAAATCACTGCTCTAAGAAAAAAACATATTTAAGCTACAAAGTTTGAACATACTGTAGAGAAAGAGGCAAAAGAAGGAAAGAGGGGATTAATGCTTCACGGGTGTGTTCATACA